ACTTTTATATAACTTCCATACAGTCAGGCTCCCAGTGGGAGTTATTCAGGTTGCATTCAAAGTGAGCAGTGTCCCCTCTGACATGAAGCTATGTCGRAAACCAAAGTTTGAATTTGTGAGGACCCTGGGTGTCTCTACACTCTTTTCCTTGGGGAAACTTAATCAAATGTTATGACAGTCCTCCAACTCTTTGGTTTCAATCCCAGTCTAACTTTGTAAAGAACTTCAAACTGTTTGCTATTTAGCTCTGTGCTGAGCGTTGTGATTTTAACAGCTCAGACAGTCCATATATGAGTGAGGGTTTAGTCACAATATTGTTGGTCTATGTGACAAGTTTTAATGAAGAAAAGGTTACATTTGCATATTCTCCGGTTCCATTAACATTCTGAAGTGAAGCCCAGTAACAAATGAGTGTCGAGTTCGGCTTCTTAGAAAATTATAGATGCTTCTTGCTTCTTATTCTCCTTTTCTTTGTCTGGTTATATGTAACACCTGACATTTCTAGAGAGCCTACACTGTGTGCCATCTGTGCCTGTTATTGCTGATCWCCCACCATATACCAGAGCAGGAATTACGATTTCAGGGAGGCAGATGGACTCCAAGTGCACCTATGTGGCAAGTGCTCCCCACMGCATTCTGACCTGTGGAGGCTCAGGGGCAAGCTGGACAGACTTGAGCCCATGGCTACAGAGAAAGTTGATGGGTCAGCAGGGTTCTAACCAGGTCTGGCTCCATCCAAAACACCTTTCCCATTAACCCACCCTGCCTCTGAGGGAAAAGCAAAAAAGAAAATAGTTTCAAAATGGCAAATGTTGCTACAAGCGAAAGCAATCTTTCTCTTCTCACTTCTGTTTCTTCACATAAGCAGAATGTCCAAAGGGATACATGTCAATAAAAGGGAGGTTCTTAGAAAATTAGACGGTGTTACATGAATTACAAAAGAAAAATATATCCCTGTAGCAATCTTAGCATTACAATTACTAGAATATATCTAGCTCTGAGTAGTTTACTAAGCACTTACCAATTGATGGTGTCTTCCATGAGAACAGTGCTATTATTCTCTGTGATACTATTCTGTTATTAGATTATGCTGTTACTCTCYATTTCATCTATGGAAGCCAAAGTCAACAAAGACTAAGGGACTATCCCATATTTACAAGATATAAGAGTTAAAGACAGATGTTCAAGTTCTGAACTCTTTTCCAGTTTTTCTGATGCCAAATCCTGAGATCATCCTCCTAAGTAGCCAAGGAACTGAGCAGGAGAGAGTGATGCCCACCTGTCTCCAGGGTGACCAGCACAGGGAGCTGGGATGCAATATAGAAGGCCAAGGGGACCTCCTGTCCCTTTACCAGGAATGCTGGGAGCCATCTAGGGTATGAGGCAGGAAATGGAGATAGCCAAGTGCATTTGCGTATGGGTAGATGACAGTGGGAAGGGCAGTGAGGTGGGAGGGGACTGACAGAACTAGGTCTGTGGAGGTAGAAATAGGGATGGGTGGGTGTTTGAGATTCCAGAGGTTTGTGGCTAGAAGAGGGGTTAAGCTGGTGCCAAGTTCCTTCTGACCTATCAGTAGGGAGCTTGGATCTCTTCTGGATTCATGATTCTTAGGAATGTTCATCAGTCCCATGTGAATTTTGGGGAGTGACATGTGGATACACATGTTTACATTGTATGCGTGTGTTTAAAAAGTCTCTAAGTCTTCTCCCCTGAAGCTCTTGTTCAAAAGGTATGTTCCATGAGCCTTTGTCTAATAGAGCAATCAATTACCACCTGGTTAATAAAATAGACTGAAATAAGTTCTTCACTAATCACTTCCCAATAGCCTAAACTTACTGAATTCATCTTGGCCACCCATTGTCTTAAATTTGTAGCTGCCCTGCGGATTTTGATGTGATTTGCAAGGCATATAATTCTAGAGAGCTACTTTCATGAGAAGGACCATGCTATCTCCATATTGCAGAGATGGTTTGGGATCATGCAACAAAAGGAAATTAAATTTGAAAGAAGAGCCAGCTTCATATATTTAGTCTATAATGGTTTTCTACTGTGATCAAATATCAAGAAGGATTCAGCATCAGCAGTCACTTATATGTGTTTCCCAGCAAATGTAGTATTGTGCTATATGTCTTGTTGAGAATGTGCATGTATCTGCCTCCGATGGTATGTAGATTTATTGAATAGTCAGTGCACATGAAATCAAATGCTTTGTCTTTCCAATAAAAGCAAAGCCACTTCAAAAGCCTTCCGATTTCATAGTGTCTTCARTAAAGCAAGCACCAACACGTTTCAGGGTTTTCTTGACAGCTCTACCAGTTGTGATAAAGRAAAGATAAAGAGAACAGGTTAGAACCTATGAGGAAACTTTTAACCTTTGTCTRTTCCTTTCCATCCTATTTTTCATGACTTCTCCGTGCAGATGACAGCGCTGACCTGGCATCAGTAGGACGCATGCTTTTGAGTTGTTTCACGAGGAGTAGGAGTAGATGCTGCACAGCCATCTCATTCCTCCCGTAGCCCATCTTTCAGATAAATAGCACCCTTCTGTGCCTTGTGGGGTCAAGTTTTTATCTGTGGTCTCAGAGGTTGCTTTTTTATTTCTCAGTTAAAAATTGGTTCTCTGCTTCAAGAATAGAATCCATAGAGTTGGTCCTGTCAGCATTGTGATCTAACTGGTTGAGCCGAGAGATTTCAAAAAAAGAATATCCATTTGGACAATGGTACAATATCCCTTCTGATTTAGGATATTAGAGCATATTCCTTCAGTTTAAATTAAAAAATAGATTTTTGGAGTAGGTCAGATGTAAGAAGGAGGATTCAGGAAAAGAATATTTAGTACATAAAATGTATTAACATTTTGTGAATACATCAATGTCTTTAAATAAATAATTTCCTCTTAAAATGTCATTTTGATTTTTGTACTTTTGTCCCCAGAAAAGCATTAAGGGAATATGTCTATGTTTTATCTTTTCTTTTTTAAAAAATTTTTGTCTAATTTTTTCAGGACTAAAGCTCTTCTATTTTTTTAATTGGTTGTTCAAAACATTACAGAGCTCTTGACATATCATATTTCATACTTTAGATTCAAGTGGGTTATGAACTCCCATTTTTTACCCCGTATACAGATTGCAGAATCACGTCGGTTACACATTCACATTTTTACATAWTGCCATACTAGTGTCTGTTGTATTCTGCTGCCTTTCCTATCCTCTACTATCCCCCCTCCCCTCCCCTCCCATCTTCTCTCTCTACCCCATCTTCTGTAATTTAATTCTCTCCTTTTTTTTCTTCTATTTTTAAAGTAAGTTTATAAAAACAGCAACCATGAAAATGAAAATAATGATGATATCAGCATCACCTACTATCATGAATTATATTTTCTCATATCTGAAAATTTAGCTAAATGCCATGCCTCAGTTTTTTTTTTAAATAATATACTAGGAAAAGGTGATCTCTACAAAGTATCCACTTAAGCCAAATAAAAAAAGTGTCTATATTAATATGATCATGGGTCATCTTGTTGTTTTTCATAATCATAATCTTTATAAATGTGGAACTTGAGTTGATACATTTAACTTCATGTGTGTGTGTATATATATATACACACACACACATATATAGGTATGTATGTACATGTAATCTTTTTTTTCCTTTTAAGTTCTAGGGATTGAACCCAGGGGCACTTGACCACTAAGCCACATCCCCAGCCCTTTTTGTTTTCAATTTTGTGACAGGGTCTTGCTAAGTCACTAAGAACCTCACTAAATTGTTGAGGCCAGCTTTGAACTTGTGATCCTCCTACTTTAGCCTGCCAAGTTGCTGGGATTACAGTCGTGCACCACCATACCCAGCTCTATGTGTCTAGAATCTTAGATAATCAATGTGTATGGGTGCACTTAAAAACTATTTACATGAGTTGATCTTTTCAGGATGCTCTCTTAGATGCGTCTATGTGTAAGGAAACCAGAACAACAATTGCGAAGTATTTCTGTGTAAACTAGTATGTACAATTCATCAGTGTGCTAACCAGATGCCACAGTCTAGAGGGCTCATCCTCATGTTMTCCTGCCTTCCTTTTGTTCAGAGAATTTGGATGGAGAGACCCAGAACTDCCCGAAGTGATCCAGATGTTGCAACATCAKTTTCCTTCAGTCCAGTCTAATGCTGCAGCCTRTTTACAACACCTCTGTTTTRGAGACAATAAAATTAAAGCTGAGGTAAGCACTACTTGGATTCTCAAATGAAAGGTGTCAGATGAGTAAGTACTCAGAATCTTTTAGAGAAATGTMAATGGGAAAAGACGTCAGTTAAACTAAAGTTGTGTTCTCAGGTTTAGATCTCTCTTTAAGATGGAACCCTCATTCCTTTCTTCCAGCATTAGAATACTGAGGCATAGAGGACCAAGGATGCAGGCCAGGAGCAGCAGAGGCTAGATTACCAATGGCACATGTGGGTGTGATGTGCCTTCCTCTTCTGAATTCCATCTCTGGAGTCATCTCTGCCTCTAAGCCCTAAAAAATGACAAAGCATCAATTGCTATCTCCTCAAATTGCAATCAATATGAGGAGCTATGGCCTATCCTTCTTGGAGAACTCATTGAAAGAATGAGGATGTTAGGCAATAAAATGGCTTTGTCTTATAAACAAGCATTTTGAAGCCATTTACAAAGGTAACATCAGATATAATATGGATATATGTGATGCATTAAAGAGACTATTGTCTGTGTCCAGCACAGAAATGATTGTTAACATGCCCTGTTCTTTGGGAACACTCTAAAGTGCATAGCACACTGCGGTGTGTGATTATTTTTGGAAAATCACTGTGGTCACTGCAACTCTGATTTTTTTCAGATAAGGGAAAAGAATTTGCATACAAGCAGCTGAGTAATCAATTTTTTTATAAAAAGATTTTATAAGCTATAATGAGTCATCTCCATAGCGTGTAAGCAATTTTGAGGATGAGTCTAAATTAGTTTAAGAGGGGAAAGAAGAGATTTGAAGATATAATTGCAATTTATCATAGATTTTGCTTGCTCGCATTGGGATATATATAGCCCAGCAGCTTTTCATCTTTTTTCCCTTTCTTCCTCTGGGACTACAGAGGACTTGGTTTATGCCCATTCTTATCAGAAAAGTCATATTTCTTTTTTGAATGAATGTGGAGCAGTGGTGTTCAACCAGGTGTGATTTTTCTCCCCAGTTTCATTTGCTGTCTGGGGACAATTTTGGTTGTCACAACTGGAGGAAGGTGTGGTGATGCCACTGGTCTCTACTGGATAGAAGTCAGGGATGCTGCAAAACGTCCTATAATTCACAGGGAAGAACCCAGAACTACCCAGCCCCAAGTGTGAATTCCGCCAAATTTAGATTCAGAGAAAATATTGCCCATCTAAGGCAAACTTAAAATGTGAAAAAATACCTACTGTTAAAATGACCTAAAAAAGTCATCAAAGTCATGTGACTCCCATCCCCAGTGGAACTCATCTTAGTCATTTGAATARAAAACCAAGGAGCCACACAAACTGAAGGACAGACTTCTGATGAGGGAATCATACACGAGCGTGTAAGGTTCTGAAGAATGCAACCTGGAAAGTGTCTCAGAGGCCACGAAAGCATTCCGTCCACTGTTGGCCTGAGGTTGACTCAGGAATGTGGTGGTGTCCACCTGCAAGTGAGCTGGATCCCACTCAAATTGTGGTTCCAGTGTTGAGACTGCCAAGATCACTCTCACACCAAGAAGGTGGGTTACCCACATGGTGAGGCTTTCCAGAATGAGCATCATCGCTGCCAATCACTCCAAAAAATGGCTTGAGAGAGTTCTGGAGAGGGTCTGGCTTGAGATCCTGGGGTGGTAGGCAATGGATTCTCTCTTGTGGACGGGGCCTTTTGTGGAGGGTGATTCTTCCTATCAGCTTGTTCAGATGAGGGGCAGCAGACAGAAAGGAGTGTTGGAAATCCAGGAATCAGGGGTGTTTACCACGAAGCTGTCTCCCAGTCCTTTCTAATGTTTTTTATTCTGAGACAGGCTCTTGCTAAGTTGCTGAGGCTGGTCTTGAACTAGAGAATCCTCTTCAGCTTCCCAAGTACTGAGATTACATGCGTGCACCACTGCATCTGGCAAAACTTTATCACAAGGGATCGCCTGGTCTGGCCGTACAGGCGTCATGGTTCAGGGTAGTTTGACCAGGCTTCCTAACTGACTCTGTATGCACTCCGGGCTCACGGCCTAGGCATGGAGGCCTCAATAGCGATGCTGGCTGGCACCTGGCTGTAGACTTACTTGTGGCCACACTGGAATTACCCTCAATGCCCTGTGGTTCACGGAGGCTGTTCAGTGAAGGGGCACATACATCACATCAGACAGAGGCAGCTTCCCACGCTGGACCCCCTGCTCATCAATACCTGGAACAAACCAGTGTTTTCTACTGGAGCCTCTTACCTTTAAAACAGAGATGTGGATACTGTGGATACCTTTGAAGGGATTAAGGGACTCGGTGTCTGCAGACTGCTTAGTGGTGGAACATCACTCATCATCACAGGAACCTAGTTAAGACACTGAAGCTATTTTACCTTAAGAATATATGTATGCACATGTGTGTATATATATATATATGTATATGTCTTCTCTGTGCGTGCATTTGTGTGTCTGCGTATATCAGTGTGTACTTATTTTTACTTTGCTTGGGTCCCCTCCAGGCCACTTGTATTACCTCTTAGTATTTGAAGTACCTGCCAACAGCTGACCCTTGAGTAGTGGTTCAAATTATCCCAGCCCTCCTCAGTGTACCTGATAGATTACTGGCTCCATGATGATGGTTCCTGGTACCTATGAGGCTGGGGTGAGGGAAGGCAAGGGTGGTGTAGGACTAGGGGCATGCCCGATATCAAATGGAAAGCATGAGATCAAAGATCAGAGATGTGCAAAGGGCCTAAATAAAACCCAGAACAAGCAGCCCAGAGCTTTCCTTCCTCTCCACCCTCAGTCACATGGGGAGGTGTACATGCATGCAAAACTCTGATAAGAATCCTCCAGACCTGTTTTGTTCTCTCATCCCTACTCAGAGCCCAGACTATTAGTAATGGGTTCTCTGTTTGTGACGGATGGCTGCCTGTCATGTTTTCATACACAGTTATTGAATTTYGTAATTACCTGTTGTCCAAATACTAATCTTGCAGGCACTAGCCTTTCCAAATTTACTCAGTCCTCTAGTCTTTCTATTGCGTTTTATTGGATTGATTTAGCCCTTCAGTCTACATTTCATTATTGGTATTGACTCTGCTCACACAATGGATAGGCCATTGAGCAAAAGGCAAAATTAAATCTCCTATATGTGGAGGCCATAAATCATGCCTTGCTCATTCCTTATTACAGTGCCTTGTACAAATTTCATATAATGAAGCCAAGAAATTCAGTTTTGTTCAAAATGGTGCTGGATCTTATAGGTACAAAGTAGAGAATTCACTGCCATAAATCATCGACGAAAGCCCAGTCCTAACTTTTCCTTGTGGCCTAGTGAACTGGGGTTTGAGAGCCTCCTGGTGCACTTCCCAGAATTCAAATATATGTTTAAGTAAATTATTTTTAAAAAATTAAAATAATCCCTTTTGGTCACTTAAAAATGTGGAAACATTTTTCAGTCTCTAAGAGACACATTACCTCGAATGCTGCCATTTAGGAAACCTGGGTGCGTGTGTGTGTCCTGGCTCACCCACAACTCTCAGGTGTGAGTGGGTCTTCCTCTACCTGCTGTTTTCATCAGAAGAAATGAGGAGAAATGCAGGAAAAAAACGGCATAAATAGAATGATTCTGGGTTCAGGAGAGAGTGCCAGGTAAGGTCCAGCTTGATAGTCTCTAGTGACTTAGGTGAAGTTTGCATTCCATGGGTCGTCCTGACCCAGAGTCGGACATTTAGCGATTAACACAGATCAGCCAGTGTGATTGGAGGACATCACATAAGCAATGAGTCAGAGGTAGACAGAGATGAGATCTGAAGCCAAGCAGCTAAAGAAAATTAAAAGAGGTTGTAGGAAGCTGGAGAGGTGAAGAGGGGGCTAGGTTCTGATCACAAACACGCCACATGTGTGCGGCTCCTTTTCATGGACAATGGCGATCTGATCTGTAAGCGGGTCCACCTGTGTTAATGGGCAGAGGCACCATTAGGGTGGATAGATGTCAGTGGTGTGTGAACAATGCCTGCCGTCCACACTGTCTCCTACATTGYTGGCAATGTCACAATAAATTGAGTTTCAGAGAAATTGTTAGACCAGGCAAGTGGCTTATGTGTATGGACTGCAGGGGGCTTTTCAGGGTGCCTCAACATAGGTAACTTCTGGACATTTTCACAAATCCTTTCTTCTTTTTCCTGGGAACTCCTGCTCAGGTGAGAATATTAAGAGCATCTCATTGATTGGGGATAATGCTAAGTGCCTTTCATGGGTTGTGATCATTTCAGTTTTTTTTTATGCTATTTCTTCTCATTTCTTCTGATGAAAATGGTGGACTAGGCAGGTAGAGGGACACTCATGTTCACACCTGAGAGTTATGTGCGATCCAGGACACACACACACACACACACACACACACACACACACACGCACCAATGGTTATCTAAATGGCAGCATTCGCAGTAATGCATCTCCTGGAGACTGAAAAATATTTCCACATTTTTGAGTGACCCAAAGGGATTATCTTAATTTTTTTAATTTTAAAAATATTTTACTTAATTACACATTGGTCAATCAATCAAATTTAATTATAATTTTATTTGATAAAAAATTTAAATATTTAAATAATTTAAAATATTTTTTTAGTTAAAAGATGTTTTCATTCACTTAAACAATGTGCCTTTTTTTCAGATCTCAGTCATGATATAGGACATTGCCTGTGGGAAGGGTTGACTCTAGTCCCTTCTTTATGACAGAAGTGGTCACTGATCACCAGTGATGAGGATTTAATTTAGGGCCCAAGGTGGTGGTTCATGCCTGTAATCCTGATTGCTCACAGGGTTGAGGCTGGAGGATCCAAGCTCCAGGCCAGCCTCAGCAACTTACTGAAAACTTCTCTCCAAATAAAATTGTTAAATGTTTGGGGAGGTGGCATAGAGAAAGATGCTTCTGGGTTCAATCTCCAGTACACACACAAAAAAGATTTCATTTAGGGTTTGACCTGGTCCCTTTTTGTTTCATGAAAAATGAGCCTCAGTATAATAAAGGCAGC